TCACACCACTTTGCAAGTACCCTCTAGTTTCTTTACTTTTTTACAATTTAATCCTACTACTTTTCCATTTTTAATGTTTTTTATTTACTTGTCCCAGTTCAGTTTGGGACGGAAGTGGAAGCAGCTGCGTGAAATTTGAAAAATGTAGCTACGTCACAAAATGACGTATTATAATGATATTCATAGAGGAATGGCGGCTGTGTTGTTTCACTCTTAAAACAGTCTTCTGCTGCTGATAAGCAGTATAATAGCTGCTGGAGTCGGCTAGTTTTCATAAAGGCCATCATTATCAGAAAATCTTGCTCTATTAGATTTTTAAAAGAAGAATTATCAGTTTGGGCACTCGACTACATGTGCTTATATAAACTATGACATCATGAAACGTCATTGCGGTTAGCTTTGGTATGCCATTGGGTTTATAGGGAGAACCCGGTTCTCAGGGTTCCCAAGGGCTGAGAGATCCAAGGTTTCACAGATTTTGATGGACTTTGGCGACTAAGAACCTGTGAAAGTTTCATCCTTATCCCACATTCCTATAAAAAGTTATTCCAGTTTTTCTTGTCCCAAACTCAACTGGGATATAATGTATACTGTACATGTATAATTATTATATTAAATCCAAAAAACTACACATGTACAGTACTCAAAACATACCTAATTAGACTCCATAAAATTCACCCATACATCTAAATGGTAGTGGTACAATGTACACAGAACATGTACAAATAAAGTGCAGGTAGGGCACATGTCATATAACATGAAAACCCTAATAGGTGTCAAGAACACAAAATGTACTGCTCCGTAGAATATAATGTAAGATATAAACTTAAGAAACGTTGACAATATTAATATCAAATGTTGTAAATGCATCTCTTCCTCATGTATGAGGTATATTATAGAAATGTATCGAATATGAGTTTCACAGTTATTATCTTAAGACCCACCGACATTCTCTTCTTGTTTACACAAAAGTTTGTAAAAACTTGGGAAATACCATAATACTGGAAAATTTCTGAGCAGCCAAATTTTTTTGCGGATTTAGGGTTTTTTTTTGCTCTGTCGTGAAAATAAAAATCGTGAAATTCTGCATCTTTATTGCCACGTCGTTGAGTTTGCAAGCTATTCTCAAAAATTTTATTTCGTGACACCTTACAAACGCAAGATTTGCAAAAATTTAGCAATGTGAAAATATCTGAAAATACAGTATATCTTCAGATACCTTGGCCAAATGAAACCACTTTCAATGAACATTAATGTAAGTCAATTAGACATACCCACTTCGATTTTTTGGGCTAGTGGGATTGAAATAGATTTCAATAGCATGAAATAGCACTGCCTCTTTAAGGGCTCCTGGTATTTTGTACTCTTGCTACTGTTTGCATCATGTCCAAAATTTTCATCTTTTATTAGTTAAGATAACATCAAGACGACATTCATATGGTACAAATATTTGTGTGCACACATTTTACGCATAAAGGTAAGGATGCATTTACATGTACAAGTAAATGTACTACTGATTTGAAATACTCTGTCCCTATAGAAACATAATCCCTTACTGATTGCTACTATATATATTGATTAATTCAATTACAATTATGAAATTGAGCATTTTAAAGGGCATCTTGACTTTGCGAAATGTAATGCATTGTTACAAAATCAATAGTAAAATTCACATAATGACAATAAAAGAACAGTTTCCAACTTACATTTTTTTGACAAGATGTACTATCTTCTGACTCCACCTTTGTATCAAAAACACCTACAATGTAAATAGATTAACAGAGACCAGCCATAGTACAGCAAAAACTGCATACATGCATGCACAAGTGTCAAAACAAATAATTACTGTATAGATCCTAAATTTTCAATGTTTAAAATTTCAAAAAAATTTTATTATGAAAAACTACTGCTTGCCATTGTAATAGCAACAACTGTTGGTTAATTCAAAAAAATTTAATAGACCAATATCTAATTTTCAGCACAATCACAGAAATTTTAGACCCCAAAAACATGGGACCTATAGAGTATATATGTTGGATAATTACAAAACTATGTGCAAGGATACCACACCCTGCTTGCCTCCATCTACAATGTAGCTCTCTCACCCATGCATACTAGTTAGCATACAGTGTACCTTAAATGACCAAGGGAGAGACTGTTTTCATCAAATAGATTCAAAGTAGTGTCAGAAAAGAGGCTAAGTAAATTGTCTATTACTACAATGCCTAAAAATATTATAGTGCAAGGTTGGCCATTACAACTATAACAAATTGGTTACGTGTGTATAACACAAAGTACTCATATCAAGATAAAAATCAACTTCCAGCTGCACGTAGTTCTGTGATAGTGCTAAGCCAATAGCTATGCGTTTGCATACATCAGAGACCATGCAGGCCACAGTTAGGGACAAAAATATACCCCTCTTACTCTTAAATGTGTTCTTTGCTTATTGTGCTATCAGATGAAAAATTTTTCAGACAAGAGTAAGCCTTAATTTCAGTCATTTAACACTACAATTGAAAAATAATTACTGATTGTAAGAAATAGGGGGATAAAGGTGTCGGTACTAAAACAAAGCATACAGAAAATACTACCAAGAAAAATGAAATGTCTATGAACCCTTAAAGTATTGAATGTCAAGGTCTTTCATATGCAGCGTTTCTCAATGATGAAAAATGTTCTTGCCTTTGCAGAGAGGAGAGAACACGAAGCTGTACAGAATGATCTGCTCTACTGTTACCGTAGGCTGGGTTTTGATTGCAAATTGTGAGTCTGGAATACATCTCGCAATGAAAAGAATCGTAATTAATAATAATTGATAAATGCCACACCTATAATAATTAATAAGCGCCATGCCTATCAATCATTTTCTCTACACGTGTTTCATTTTACAGCATCATGAGTGGTATCCTGTGCTATTTTCAGCCCAAATTACCTTATCTAGTCAAGTCCCAATGCCACCTAACATCTTGAAGGAAGTTAACCAAGCTGTGGCAGTAGCTTTAGATGGCAAAGGAGAGAAACAAGACAATCACTTAACTTGTGAGTGTGGCTAGCTAGGCTAGCATCTCACAATTGTTGGAAACGCAAACTAGTTATTTTTTCAAATTCGCAATCTATTAGATATGCAATCAGAACCCGGCCTACGGTATTTAATTGAATTCTATATCATACAAGGACAAACTATTGTATTGTGGTGTCCCTATTGTTTGCAATATGCTAAACAAAACAGTATCTAAGATGTAAGATGATGCAGGTAACTGTAAGCCTATGAACTGGAGAGGATACTTCGGCTGTACAAGTACATGTACATTAGTGTTGTTGTAGTTCCTTGGTACTAGAACTAAATCAATTCTAGTACTGCCTTTTTTTCATAGTTCTAGTTCCAAGAACTAGAACTAGTACTATTTTTACAACCAATGTAAGAACCAGAACTAAACTAGAACTAGCTTATACAACACTTGTAGTACTAGAACTGAACTGGAACTAAACTTTGCCAGAGTCTCAGTACTAGAACTAATCTGGAACTAAAAGTACATTCTCTTGTGGTACTAGAACTAGTCTGGAACTAGAATTGTAGAACAATATTACTTGACAAAGAAGGTACTAATTTGTCAGTGAAATATTTTAGTACATAACAAAGACTGAATAACAAATAATGTATGAATTTGTTACTTAGACATACATTATAATGCATAAGTATATGAATAGACCTTTGAATACTTGTTCAGTTCAAAGCTAAGCAGTTAAAGCATCACAGCAGAAGCAAAAAGAAGTAGTATTTAGAAATTATTTCCAATTAGAACTAAGCTTATTAAACTCTATTGCTAGAACAAGTACAAGAACTATAACTTAGCTCTAGAACTAGAACAATAGCTAAAATTTATTGAAATCTAGTTCTAGAACTAGTACTAGAACTAACTTTATCAAACTATAGTTCCGGAACTAGTACTAGAACTAAACTTTATCAAACTCTAGTTCCGGAACTAGTACTAGAACTAAACTTTATCAAACTCTAGTTCCGGAACTAGTACTAGAACTAAACTTTATCAAACTCAAGTTCCAGAACTAGTACTAGAACTAAATTTTATCAAACTCCAGTTCTAGAACTAGTACTAGAACTATATAAAATTATGGTACTACAACAACACTAATGTACATGTACATACACTGAACATTGTGTAGCATCCATGATTGTTAATATACACGTATAGCAATAGCAGCATAATAATAAAAGTACATTTGAGCTCTCTGCACTCCGTTTCACCTAAGCACAGATCAGCTAAGGTTGTACCTTAATTTAAATATTGTTATTTTACGTCAAATGAGGGCAGACATGAAGCATAAATAAACCAACTAAACCTCAGGTATTTTACTATCATTAAACAATAAATGTGTGCATACATGTACAGTACACCTATTTTTGTATGAATAACAAGAAAACATCGCTCAAGACAACACATACAATCAGAAGAAGCACATACAATGTACATTGCACATGTAAAAATATCTCTCTCTATACATGTACAAGCACATACATGTACATTTACAACTTAAAGACACTCACTTTGTTTGGTATCCACTAATGCTGAAGCACCGGTATTCTTAACATTGGGGGAACCTTCAGTACTTGATGAAGTTTTTGCAACATGAATAGGTTTGATCTCAGAATTTAATGGCATATTATTATCATCTATCACTGATCCGGAACTACATGAACTTTTTAAACTTTTGTCTTCAGTTGACTGAATAGGATCATCTAAACAAAATGAGGAATAGTTTTATAAGAATATAGATTGTAGACCTAACTTAAACTATCGGTTTCATGTACATCTGATGTAGTGTTGATGATTTTACCACCTCTAATCTTCACTATTTCTATAAAAGTGCATAAAATTATGTTTTAATCAGCACATATACAATACCTCCACTTTGACCAATGTTAACACTTGTTTCAATTTCAAGCTCTTTTGTAGCTGACAAAGAAGGAGAATGGCCTATTGTTCGCTTAGAAATGTGTGTCTGGAGGTGAGAAGGAGAACGTTCAGATGACTTGATGGATGTTTCAGAGTTAGATGAAGACAATTTATCTCTTCGTCTTTTTTCCTCTTGCTTTCGCAACACATGACGAACTTTCTCACGTAATTCTTCATCTGCAGATAAAAAATTATGAACTTTTTTGTCCCTAGCATAACTTTTTTTATGAAATAGCAAAAACTACCATATAGTTAGAATCTTTCTCTTCCCAAAAGTTTTCTGAATTTTGCAATATATAGTCAAAATTTACAAAAATAAAATCCGCAACAATGATTTAATACAGTTTAACATGACCATTTAAGGCAGAAAATATTAAAAATTGAAACCACGACATAGATTTTTGGATAAATTTGCAAAATTTTTGGGCCATAAAAATTTCTCACAACACAAATTTCGCATACATGTACATGTACTACACATTAAGTACAACTCTTACTTTCCTGGGTTCTGTATACAGAATCAAGAAGCCTTACAAAAACCTTTAAAATACATTATTTATACCCTCTATTATCATCATGAACTAGTCCACCTACTACACAATGGTGCTCTCATTGACATAGTCTTAACAGCAAATATGAGTAATAAGTTGGTGGTTGTAGCAGGAATAGTAGTACTTTTAAACAGATTGTCACTGACAAGGGCACATACACTAGTATATGATTCACCCATCATCTGGCATAACACTTTATGCATTAAGAAAATTCATTTGCACATTATGCATCCACAGAACAAATTTAGGAGGTGTGGCAAACAAACAAAGCAAGAGTACAGTGGCTAGAACTAAAATGAGAGTTGACAGACAAGAGAACAATGAAGCACATCTGCTGCAGAAATTGACAGGTGTAGCACATGTAAATATCTACATGTACATGTAGTAATGGTTTAATCAGTTGTGAAAAAGCTTCAGTGGTTTTTTCTACATAATTTTAGTCACCGTATTTCCTCAAAAAGGGCCCAATTCAAATAACACATAGATGTACATGTATACATTATTACAACTACAAATATGCATATTTTATACAATATCATGTGCTGCAATGCTTAGGGTAGTCCAAATAGTGTAACTGTTTATCAGCAATCAAGAAATCTAAAGCTCATGGGTTTAAATTTGAGAGTTTGCATTTGTTATTTTATTATTCATGATTTGTTATTTTATTATTCATGATTTGTTCTTCTGTTAAGCTATAAATGCCTAGGCATTTGTTTCAGAAAATACAATACAGTACATGTAAAAAACTTAACATTTTAAATTCCTTCATTCTTGTATACATGCAGTCTAAAAACTTAAAAAAACCCATTAAAATTTAATAAAGCTCTAGCCACTTCTTCTCAAGAATGAACACTAATGTGAACTGACATTCTTACAGGTACATCTACAATTACATGTTTGCTGGGGTTACATCATTAGTTACATGTATGTGCCATGTAATATATGTACAGTGCATGTATCTCCATAAATGAAAATTTCTAGATTCAAATTAAACAAAGTCTATAATTACAATTTTAAGAAAAATCATTCCACATACAGTGCATGTACAGTACATTGTAATACAAGCATGAAATCACATTATTTGAAAGTGTAAAAGCTACAATGTACAGTGCTACAACACAGTACAGTGCAATAAAAAATAAGTAGCGCATTAAAATTATATAGCTAAAGATATTTACTACTCTTGGCTGCATTGTGCCAAAGAGGTACTGTGGCCCAGCCCAGTCACATTTGATAGAGCAATGAGTACTCAAAAAGTAGTCCAAAAATTTCAGGCTCCAACTCTTGGCTGTTTGTACTGTCAAAGTTCATCAGTACTGGCATGCTTTGCTTTTAGAAGCCTGTTAAGGACGTTCTTTGCTCAATTTATTGTCGAGCTATTGTGTGCTGTTGACTGCGTTTGCTACTACTACTGTTGGCTATGTGCATGTGTAAAGAAAGGGCAACAAATTATGTGCATGCAAAAGTACATGTACATATAGACTATCTACATGTACATGAAAATAAAGTGGATCTTACTCACTATCAGAAAAAGTAAAAGTTGAAGGAGAAGGAGCCCCTCTAATTTTCGTAACCACTGTCAATAAAAAATTAAAACATTAAGTAGATGGCAATATAAAATTACATTCTTTTGAGTCCAAAGTAGACAGATCCTCATTGTTTAAAAACAACAATTGATCTCCAATACTGACCTACAAAACAGAAAAAAAGCAACAAATGTACATACATGTACATTATACATACATGTACTGTACATGTAGGTATAAATTTTGTAGCATATTGAATTTTTCAATCATGTTGATGACTAGCTGCTATCTAAGAAAAACTCAGAGTGCATGTACAACATATCTAATATGTCAATCCATTCAATATTATATACATGTACCCTCAAAAATTAATACATACCTCATCTCAAAAATTTAGGAAAAAAAATCACTTTGCAAATTTTAGTTCAGTAACTTGACTGTACAGAGGTACTATGTCACCATTTTGAAATATGGAAATGCAAGTACATATGGTCGTGGACGTATAAAAATCCAGAGATGCACCTATCAACAAATTGGTATACTAGATATTGGCTTATCAGCCTGTTTTATATACATGTACCGGTACATGTACTATTGGTCACCAATTTATTTGCATGCATCGCGCTGATATAGCAAATTAAAATATGGTTATATGCATAAAGTAAAGGGTTATAATCAATTAGTTAATTGCAAGGCATTATGTAGAAGTAGTAGCAGAGAGCGGCTTGACAAAATGACAGAAAGAGTAGCTATCACTGAGTCTATTGTTCCCTTTGTTCTAAGAACATCATCTGTGTCAATAACTGTTCCTCTCGGTGAAGGAGTCTCACATACTCATCATCTTCCAAATCCTCCTCACCACTGCAGTCACCAGCAACTTCGTCTTCATCATGACTATAGTCGGTTCAAGTTGAGTTGCCCAAGTACCAGCCCTTATAACTTTTTAATCACTATTGCTAGCAACCTGAAATTTAGTATACTTGCAAAACAGGTTCTTCCGAAAATCTGTACCAATTTTTGAGTCTCTAGGTACTCTGGAAGGTTCTGAATGGGTTCTTCCACTCTAGTTCAAAGGGAGCCGCCATGATGAGTCATTACGTGTAGGCTACATTACACTCATGAATATCATTTGCATTTCATTACTATTAATGTTTTTTTTATTTATAAAATAAAAGCAAACAGATAAGGTCCTCTAGAAAAGCTGGTATTCAACTAGCAGACCTTGCTACTGGAAACATACTGCTACATCTGTCTACAGCCTTCTTGGTTTTAGTTATTCTTCATCATCCTCAATCTAGGTTGATACCTTCCGTATCCAAGGTCTTTGTCAACTTTATAACAGAAAAAGGTCCAGCCAGCAAAAATTGATTTACTTCCTGTGACAACTCAACTTGAACCGACTATACTGTCAGGACCATCCAGAGTTATTATAATCTCTTCCATCTCTTCCTTTAACAGTCTGGCCTTCTCCTAGCAGTCGACCTTGACTTTATTTACTAAGAGTTGGTCGTCCACTGTCAAATATACCAGTTGACCTTGCTTTCCGTAGAACAGATTCCAGTGTAGGGTAGTAACTGTTTAAATCAAAATCATGAATGATTCTTCTGATAGCATCTCAGTTGAAGTCATCTGGATAAACACGTACTCTGTCTTTCACAGACATGTACATGTATCTCTTCTCTGGACTCTTAAACTCTCCTTTAGCTCTATACTCCTTTGTGACTCATTTGACAGTGGACTCACTTACTCCAGTAGCAAGTGACATTCTAGCCACTACCTGGTCTCTTTTTTCAGATTGTTGTAACTCTCTCTCCCTCTCAAAAGGTTCTAACATTATTAATAATCAGCTTTTGACCAGATGTAACTCCTACACCTTTTGACACAACAACGAATAAATTCAGCTACTAATATTAGCTGCATGGCTTATTTCTCAACTGATAATAACCAGAGGTAAGGTGAAAGGGAAGACTTAGCAATAATTGTAGGTGTGGTTTGAAATGCTAACACAACTACACATACAGTTGAGACTTTCTACATTGTAAAAAGCTCCTTAGATATATTTAGAAGGTGCTACAAGTTGCATGCAGACTTTCTTCATAAAGCCAGTTTGAGATCTTATACCGATTTGCTTGAATAAACACTCTGCTGAAAGAAACACCTATCACTAATATTCTGCAACTATGTGTATAAACCCCTTGAAGTGAGAAGTAACAGCTTGTGAATATCATTAACTTTGCAATGAATATGAATATACGGTGTATCTCAATTACGCCATCTGCCAATGTACATGCATAATAATTGGCCACCATGTTATATGTAAAACAGCAAGTGCTCTCCTGGATAATTTTGTTACTACAATTTGAAGTTAAAAACTATTCTAGTCAAAAAAAGTTAAGGAAGCCCACATTGTAGTACATGTATAGTGCAAAAATCTTTGTCTGCTTTTCCTCATTGGGCTGTGACATGCATGTAGAGTAAAAAACTGATTGTTCCAACTCTGACAGACATGTCAAGTCTTCAAAATATCATGCTAGTTGCTGTATTGAAGAATAGGTGTTTTAAGCCTCTCATTGGCTGAGTCCCACACAACAAAACATATTTTTGGCAAAGCAGCTCTACTTGGCATGCCAGCCAACGGAACTCTGCATTACTCAGACATAAAACGTGGCAGATGAAAACCACTAGGTGTCAAATACATGTATGCATATTGTCTCCAGTACAACTGTTTCCGCATTTAGATTGTCACAGGAGCTTAAATGTTTGTGTACAGACTTGAGAACCAAGGGTTGAGTGTTTGAATCTACTTATGGCATTTTTTATTTTACATTCAGTGACTTTTCTCAGTAAGAAATAAACACGTATACATTCAACTGATCAAATACCATACATGTAAATGCAGTACAGGCTATTACAACAAAAAATGAGTACAAAGGTATTAAGTGCATGCATGTATGAGTTAGTACAGTACAAGCACCTCACTTAAGCACTTGACTCCACCCGACTGTAGTGTACATGTAATTGTCAATTAATTTGGATAAATTAATTGTACTGGCAATATGCACTACAGGAGGTGTATGCTTGTAGTTAACACTCATTATCATTTTCATTATTAATTTATTACCCAAGCCCACGCATAGGCGTGGAAGGCTGGAAGCGAGGGTAAAGCATTCATCCCTTCAGTGTGTGTGTGTGTTTTTGGGAGATATACAAATATCTGAACCCAGCTAACCATAGCCGTAGCCTAGCGCTGGGGTGC